AAGCTTCAATATACATAAAATGCAATCGCCATAAGTGAAAAATTTAACTACCTTTGACATGAGCATTATGCTTTTAGCATGAGATCCAAGAACCTTCCGGACATTAACAAGATCCGAACCTTTACGGACAAACGAAAGAGCAATCATATCGATGCTGTTCGGAACACCCCAACCGAGAATATCTTCAATATCCTTATCTGTCAAAGTGGGAAGATCAACAACAACGCCAGGAAGATTCACGTTCTTTCTTTCACCAAGCATCGCCGAGTTTTCACAGCGGCACCTAACCGTTCCAGACTCAGGATCACATGACAAAACAGCTAGACTTATGCTTCCATCTGCACAGAGTATGGTGTTTCCGGGCTTCACATCCAAAGGCAGCTTTTTATAGCTCATGGATATCGTTGACTCGTCTCCCTTAATGTCATAATCAGTGGTTATAGTAATTTCTTGACCTTCCTTCAGTTGTATAGGGTTCCCATCTTTCAAGAAACCAGTACGGATCTCAGGTCCCTGCGAATTCAACAAGCGAAATCATAAGCTGATAGTCTCTAAAATGTTTTCTCTAGGCTTGTTTAACGAATTCAGATAGTACAAAATCCAAGATCAAGCCACGGTCTTGAATATACATATAATCAAACACTGAATATACATATAATCCAAGATTTAACATTTCACAAATTCATTTCACGGGACAAGAGATTCCATTCCACAGGACGCTTGCAAAAGGAAACACAAGATGGGAGGTTTTACCTTAGTATCAAGCATGACAGCAGCGAGAATGCCGGTATTATGCATAGCGGTGCGGAGGTTGTCGAGTGTCTCTTGATGGTATTCATGGCTTCCATGTGAGAAGTTGAAGCGAGCGACATTCATACCGGCTTTCAAAAGCTTTTCGATCATAGAAACAGTGCGAGAAGCTGGTCCTAAAGTGCAAACTATCTTCGTCTTTGGGATCCTACCATCATTAGGTAGCTCCTTCAATATCCCTTCTATGTCTATGTTCGACATTTTTCTCTACAATTTCTCTTCTCAAGCTTCCCTGCAACGGAAAATAATATAGCATAAAAACTCATACCCATCAACAAAAAACAAGCAAAAGAATCGAAATTTCTCAAATTCGTTTACTTAAGTCTAGTTTCTCGTCTTTTCTAGACAGAGATCCATGTCCGTAACAAGGAGACGATCGAACACAGATTCACTCAACCGAACATAGATAACAAGGAACCAGAGTGTCTGAGATTTGGATCCAGAGCATAGAAACAAGGTAGATTAGAGAAGAAGAGAGTTTACGGGGAGTGAGGATTTACCTAAAAAGCTCAGAATCTTGATTTGTTGTCGTGTCGGAGCAAGAACCTTTGTTTTTTGGCTTGGACTTGTGTATGACTCTGGGTTTTGGAGTAAAAAAGCTTAGCGAAGTTGGTAGCGACCGCCACGTGAACTCGAATTTAGAATTAATATATATAGAAAGGATATTTTCTAAAGGGAATTTGGTCAAAAATGCCACTTTGACAAAAAAAATTTACAAGAAATGCCATAAAAAAAAAGTTTCTTTTTGAAATTGTCATAATTTTGAATTATTATACTAAACAAGTGAGAAAATGATAGACAAAAATTGTTGTCTACTAAACAAATTAGTGAACAAGATTTTGAATCAATAGATTTCGAAAAAATTTGACGGACAAGAATCGTTATCCACATTCAATGCTACATATTTCACAAAAATTTAGTGGACAAGAATATTTAATTTCGTATCCACATTGAAATCAACAGAATTCAAAACCATATATCCATACAAAAAAATTCATTTAATCAACATATTTTTAAAAAAATGAGCCATTGAACTTACAAGATAGCAAAGGTCGCCGAAAATTCCTCAAAAAATATTGTCTACAATAATTTGTATACCTAAATTGATTTAACAAATTGGGCATAAAATTTAAGTTGTCCACTGAATGTTAATTTGTCCACTAAAATTTTGAGATCGAGATCACAAAATTAATATTGAATGGACAAAATAAATCACAAGGAAACGGTAGACAAGATGTGTGAATTTGTCATATTGTCTACCACAAATTGTTGTGATGATAAATGTTGTCCACAAAATTTTCAAAATAATGTCCATGAACCTGTTCTAGATCTCATGGAATCGGATCTGAATGAGATTCCGTTAGAAATGTAAAAGTTTTTGTTAGAAACGAGATTAGAGAGTGGAAGCTCCGAAAAAAAGACGTGTTTGGTAACTCGCCGGAGAAATCATTGAAAGAAGTTGTTGAAACCGGCTAAAACGATTAAGTTTTTGGTGAGTTAGTTGTGAAAGATGTCGAGTACTCCATGATTTTTTCCAAATCATAGAATCTCGAAAGTCTTTCTTTGTTGTCGTTGGAGAGAGAGAGGAAAGAAGGTGAGAGAGAGAGAAAAGAGATCTGAGAGAAGAAGGATAGGAGAAGAGAGAGAACAAAGAAAAAGAATGAGAGAAAAAAAAAAGAATGTGGCTTTTAGTGAAGGGTAGTTAAGTCTTTTTAAGTGTTGGTATGGCATCCCAGAAAAGAAGAAAGTCAAAGTGGCATTTTAAATAAGTTTTTATAAAGTGTGTGGCATTATTCTTAGTTTTCTCTTTTCTAAATCCAATTTGTATTTTTAATAACAAAATTAAATTGCCTTTGACCCAAGGGAATATTACAAAATCTACCACATTTCAACAAGTGGCATTCAAAATCTACCACAATCTCAAAAAGCTTTCAAAATCTACCATATTCCAATAGCACATGTGGAATGCTGGACCAAAATACCCTTGATTGGGACATAGTCTGTGTCAGAGACAGACTTGGGACAGAGTGTGTCAGAGACAGACTTGGGACAGAGTCTGTGTCAGAGACAAGACAATTTCGTTTGGTGCTTCCAAAGAAGGAGCAGGTCTGCAATAAATGTTGCACGGTTATTTAAATAATATATTATATCAGGGATAAATTCAGATTGAATGGGTGATATAATTAGATCATGGACAAATTCAGATTGAATGGATGATATAATTAGTTCGAGGACAAGTTCATATCGAATGGGTAATAGAATTAGATCGGGGATAAGTTCATATCGAATGAATAATAGAATTAGATCCGGGACAAGTTCATTTCGAATGAGTACAAGTTCAGATCGAATGGGTAATAGAATTAGATCGGGGACAAGTTCATATCGAATGAGTAATAGAATTAGATCACGCTCAAGATTGAATGGGTGATATAATTAGATGAGTACAAGTTCAGATCGAATGGGTAATAGAATTAGATCGGAGACAAGTTCATATCGAATGAGTAATAGAATTAGATCGGGGACAAGTTCATATCGAATGAGTAATATAATTAGATCGAAGACAAGTTCAGATAGAATGGGTAATAGAATTAGATCGGGGACAAGTCAAAACGAATGAGTAATATAATTAGATCAAAAATTGAGCGTGATGATGTTTATCATCCAATTCTCTTGATTGTCCATCGTCAGATGGTGTAGTTTTGTCCGCGAGAGATCTGGATTTATTCGGGGACAACTGGATTTTTTTTGTTATTTTGCAATAGAAGAAAAAAAAATCAATAATCTGGGTAGGTGAAGACAATAATGCTCAACTAATGAGAACAAATCTAAATAAAATTTGAAACCCTTAAATGAGAACAATTAGTGGACAAGATGTGGGATTCATGATAATAGAACAAGATGATAAAATCGGGGACAAGATCTAGACGCAACAGAGAATTTCCAATCGGTGACAAGATCTAGAGACAAAAACAAAAGCGTTTATTATGAGACAAGATCTGAAGAAGAAAGAGAAAGGGAAAGTGAGAGAGAGACGAAAGTGTCCGCCAGAGATCTGGATTTACTCGGAGACAACTGGATTTTTTTGTTATTCTGCAAATAGAAGGAAAAAAAATTCAATAATCCGGGTAGGTGAAGACAATAATGCTCAACTAATCTATGGACCAAAATAGATGGTGAAAAATCTAAATAAAATTCGAAATCCTTAAATGAGAACAATTGGTGGACAAGATGTGGGATTCATGATAATAGAGCAAGATGATGAACTCGGAGACAAGATCTAGACGCAACAGAGAATTTCCAGTTGGGGACAAGATCTGGAGACAAAAACGAAAACGTTTATTATGAGACAAGATCTGAAGAAGAAAGAGACAGGGAAAGGGAAAGTGAGAGAGACGAAAACGTTTCGTTTTCTCTCAAGGGAATAATAATGTGGGGTTAAAGCGCACAGATTTCAAGAGAGGAGAGATTAATAGGGAAGGAAAAAAGTGCAGGTTGTCAAATCGTGAAAACTGCCATCAACTGTGAGGGCAAAATTGTCAATTTACAGCAAAATGTGGTATGAGTTGAAAGATGGAGAGAAATGTGGTAGATTTTGAAAGAAATTGGGAAAATGTGGTAGATTTTATAGTTTTTCCTTGACCCAAACAAAATTAAAATTAAATTGCCAAAAAACAGAAAGTATATTAACAAATATTAATATTTGCCTCTTGCCCAATGCACTGACGTCTTCATTTAGTTGGGTTTTTTTTTTTTTTTGTTGTTAAAAATTCATTTGTTATAATTTTAACTATGTACTTGAAATTATGCACGTTATGTTTATGATTACTCTAGCAGAAGAATATACCTTGGATCGAAAGATGTGATTCTCTCAATTCTTGTTTATAATTTGTTTGTTTGTATCCATGAATTTGTGGGTCTCATATTTTTTTGGTATAAAGACAAGCATGTTATACATCTTCCCATAGTTGTTTTGGTTCTTTGGGAATTTCAATGGTCATATTCCAAAAACCAATAATGTCTCTCTTTGTTTCCCTCTTGGCTTGATTAAGGAGCCATTTCTTCAATACTCTTTTGCTAGGTGTTCTATTTACTGCATAGTTGACATTTTGTCTGTAAATTATTGGTACCACAAACTTTTTGCTAGGTGTTTAATTTATTTTGTTAATAAAATTCATTTAACGAACTGAATATCACAGAAATATAAATCCATTCTATAATTGAAAAATTATGTCATCTATCTTATCTTCCACAGGTGAACTACACAATGAGTTTGTTGGCAAGATAAGTCTTTGTAAACAACAAGAGGATCAAAACTCTATATTAGTTGAAATCAGAAACAGTAGACAACTTAACTACTTCCATTCATAACCTCCATCGGACTAATAAGTCTTCTTGAAACTGACGACTTGCAGAGATGCCAATATGGAGACACTTGCCTTCAAATGCGTTTGGGCGGAACGTACTGCACCCGTACTTGTTGGCATATGGACTGCCAACGGATTTCCGCCACATACATGTGAAAATGACGAACAGTCAATACGAAAACCCAAAGCTAAGGATTTGCTTCTTAATCCCTTGTTAGGTTTCTAAGAGAAGTAAATATGTTTACCTGCATTTCTTCTGGGAGTGCCTCTGAGACAGCAAGAGTGTAGCAACCAGGAGCAAACTTCCCTGGAAACAAGATATTTGCAAAGTGTTAGATTTATTTCTGTTCTGTCTCAAAGAAAGCTGGCAATATTAGGGAATACAACATCAAGCCATAAACACACAGAAATCAGAATGCAGCTACCGCTCAAACGGATGCAAACAAAACAGTTAAATTTAAAATATATATAAAGCGGGATTTTGGTGAATAAAATATATAACGTAGCACTAATATCCCCATATATAAAGTATAATGGTGAGACAAAAAATAACAGGAAACGGAAAGAAGAAGCTACTCAGCTACTCAGTACAGTAAACTCAAAAAGACAATGAGGACGATCAGGAAACAGAGCTGAAACATACCAATTCTTAACCATCTTGCTGCCCAACTTTTGCGTGGATCCATCATAGAGATTATACTGCAAAACAATCATAATATCAATACATAATTACATGGACGAGACATCGACAAATGACGAAAGAGACATAAATCAACACTAGCACCATCTCTGTCATTGTTAACTCATGTTGCTTAAAGCAGAAAACTTTATAGTCATATACACAGTGATTTCACAATTTGCAACGATTCATCCAATAAAAAATTCAACAAAAAACGAGAGATTAGTGGCCAACCAAAAAACGCATCAGTCTTTTCAACAAGTATAGACTATACAATTTCATCATAAGTAGAGTCCCACCCAGATTCCGAGACTTATGAACAGTGACATGTAAATTCAAAGTAAGGACATACCCATTGAAATTAGGGGTTGTAACATCGACGATACGTTCATGTTCGTCTTCCATTTTGAAGAAAGGACAGTTCTCGCAACCAGAGTCCCTAAACTGTTGGATGAATTAGATTAGGCAAAAGATATCCGCAAGAGAAGAAACATGCAAAACACAAGTGAAAAGAGCCCTAAGCTCGTGGCCGAGGCGGCATCGAAGACCTGATCGTAGGTCTTGACGAGGCGGCATCGAAGACAAGCCCTAAGCTCGTGGCCGAAACTCGTCGGAATCTGAGCAGGCGCTTCTCCCATTGTGATTTGTCTCCAAAATCGCCACACGTCCTAAATCGAAATTTCTGTGAAAAACGAGAACAATGTCTCCGTGTCTATCTATCAGTTCCGTACAGTATAAATACCATAAATGTGGGCCTCAATATGGGCCCATAATGTGGTCCCCTAATCCAGGATTGTCTATTTCGGGAGGAAATTAATTAATTTTCTTGGGAAATTGGTCATTTTTTTCTCTAAAATGGGCCTAAGAGTCCATTACACTAATAATCACAGGCCCATTCATCTTCCCTACGTTATCTGTATAACTTCGGCAACAAGATGAGTTCAATTTGTTAAGGGTTTACAATGATTCATTTCTCCTGCCTCCGAGTGCCGTGCATAGTTTATTATAGTCAACTTTCTTTTTCTTCAAAAAACCTTCTTTATTCTTCTTGTACAAGCAAAATCGTGTTTATCGTCCTTGTCGTGTTTGGATAATTTTGCACTAGGAACGGAATCTCATAACGACACGTGGCGGACCAGTCATTAAAATAAAGTCTTTCCAAAAGCTCTTTTTCTTACCGAGTTTTCGGATACAAACTTCTGATAGCAATTTTTTTTTTTTTTTTTTTTTTTTTGATAACCCAGGTTTCCTGTCACTAGCCGACAGAGCAGGGTTCCACATGTTAGCTATCGGCGGCGAGCCGACAGAGCAGGGTTCCACGTGTTAGCTATCGGTTCGCACAGACTAGCCACGTGGGCGGCCAAACAGCTCTCCACGTGTTGGCTCCTGGAAGTCTGCGGAGCGCCAATGTGAATACGCAGTGGCCAGGAATCGAACCCTGGTGGCGGTACTCACAGCTGTGAGCCCTTTACCACCAGACCACGACATCCTGGTTCTGATAGCAATTTCTTTTACCTACTAACTCATTTTTTTCTATGTTCAATTACTGCGGATTTTGCATTGCACCACACCGCATTATACGCATGTATGCACGATGAAGACTAAACCAATAACATGCAGCTTAAGGGCTAAACAAAACGTGTATACCCCATCACTTATACCATGTGAGATATTTTGCCATTCAAAGTTCACCTACCAAATACGATGCATAAAGATAAAAATTGACCCTTACTATTTTTTCTCTTCCAAGCTAATAGTTGGATTTCTATATACTATTTTGCTGTAACCCATTAATTTTGGGTCCCATTCAAACTCTTTTAACCTTCTAATAATCTCATTTGGTTATGTCGTACAACTTCTCAATTTAAACATTCTATCTTCTTTTAAAAGGGACTTGCTAATTTCACTTCACTAAGAGATTTTACAGTCGCAATTTGCTGCAAAGGTGATAAAGATAACATTTATTTGATGTATAAGGATTAAGGCCTATCTTATATGGCGTTTACTTAGAATTTTACATAACATTTTTGAGCACAGCCTAAAAACACTAGACAATTCTACCAAATCACATACCGCCCGCACCAAATCTTTGTTTTCAAAGCATCCCTTCCTCTAGTCCGCCTATATCATAAAATTATTCCTCGAAAAATAAACCGATATCATTGAAATTAACGTTTTTCTACAAATCATTTAAAAACTAGTTTACTGTCAACGAAAACTGGTTATCTTCCGTGAATCAAAAAATGCACTTACATCATTTGTTCCGTTCCGTTTGATCCGCTAATTCGACACCGTTTTAACATATTTCAAGTAAGTATCAAAAATATTAATGTGAAGATAAAGAAAATATATGAGAAAAGGAAAATGCATAAGGTTTTGTTGGGACTATAAAGACGAGAGTAGCCTGTGATCAGCCACGCCTGCCCTTTGCTTCTTCTATTGCCTTGTTATAATAGTATTTGTTTTCCTCTTCTGGCTTCCTCTCTCTCTCTCCTTTTCCATCTTCTTTTCCAGAACTTGCTCCCTCTATCATCTTCTCACCGCTTCCTAAATCTCTCTAGCGGTCTTCCTTCCCCCCTTTGTTTCCGGGCTGTTCCTTAATCCCTATCTCTTTCTCTTTCTTCTGCCATCGCCAAACCTTATCTGGGTTTTGCTTCTTATTTGGTAAGATTGGATTTTTCGCCTCAACCCCTTTTGATTTTGTCCTTCTTAGATCGTGTTAATTGATCTTCATACCCAAGTGATCCTTCTTCTATTTAAGTTCGATGATGATTTTCACGAATTGGGTTTTTGGGGATCCTTGTTCTAGGTGCACTATGTCGATTTTGTGGGTTATTTGAGTATTTTTGCTATTGACTACTGTGATTGATTCGATTGTGCGTATCTCGATTCACTGTTTTGTTTTTTTGAGAGGTGATTGTTTCGATCGAACAAAGTGAAAGTGCATTTGATTTATAGTTTTGATCAATTGGGTTTTATTCACTGGTTTAATTGTTCTTCATGTTTGAATGCTAATCTCCTTGCTACTAGATCTACATGAGTTTTCAGAGATTAACTTGTTAAAATCCCTTCCTGATTCTTTCTTAATTTCAAGGCTAAGTTCAGGCTTTTGGCTTCTCTTATTTGTTTCCTTGTAATTTTCTGATCAAGTGCATTTTTCAGTTTTTGTATGGATCTAATGTGCAATCACTCAAAAGTTTGGTCTCATTTGTGTTGTCTCTGCAGATAATTTATATGGGCTGAACTAGGAATTTCATGGGAGTTGTGGAGGATACTGAACCTCCTTTGAAACGTGCTAAGCGGCTTACTGACGAACAGAACGGCTTCTCCGGGAACTCCTCTCTTAGAGGTACTAGTGTGAACAACTCTTTGGGAGACCTGATGGCAAGGCCTCTGACCTCCCAAGGGGATGACGAAACTATTGGCTCCAAAGGGGTCATTAAAAAATCTGAATTCATTAGGATTATCACTAGGGCTCTTTATTCACTTGGATATGATAAAACCGGGGCTATGTTGGAGGAAGAATCCGGAATCTCTCTGCATAATTCCACCATTAAGCTGTTTCTGCAGCAGGTTAAGGATGGAAAATGGGATCAAAGTGTTAAAACATTGTACAGAATCGGTCTGCCTGATGAAAAGGCTGTCAAATCTGCGTCTTTCTTGCTCCTAGAGCAAAAGTTCTTGGAGCTTCTGAAAGTTGAAAACATAGTTGATGCGCTAGGCACCTTAAGGAATGAGATGGCGCCTCTTCGTATTAATACAAAGCGTGTTCATGAGCTCGCTTCCTCCCTTATATCACCTTCAAGCTTTATATCACATACCACTTCGACTCCAGGTAAAGAAAGTGTGAATTCAAGGTCTAAGGTTCTGGAGGAACTGCAAAACTTGCTTCCTGCTTCTGTTATAATCCCAGAAAAGAGGTTGGAGTGTTTAGTTGAGAATTCACTTCATATTCAGCGGGATTCTTGTGTTTTCCATAATACTTTGGATAGTGATTTGTCTTTGTATTCTGACCATCAATGCGGGCAGCACCAAATTCCTTCTCAGACTGTTCAGGTTAGACTACTCTGCTGTGAATGTTTCATCTGTTTCATTCATCTTGTTGTTTCGTTTCTTGTTGATCATGAGTTTGTCAGTACTATAAGAGAGTCCCATATCTTTAGCTGAGAAATTACTGTACAATGTGCTGCAAACGTTTCCACTTCCTTGACAGGTCATTGAGAAAGAAATAGAAGATGTTAAATGTCTCAATCTGATGCCTCTCTTCTTTTTTGGTTATTCCTTCTCCATCATTGGCTATGTAGTACATTATTTTTGCTGTCACCTGTACACACGTTCCTCTGATTAACTTATTTGTGTGGCATTTTTTTCTGTTTGTAGTTTAGTCAGACTTGCAGTGCATGTGTGCGTTACTGACTTAAATCACATTCGTTAAGTTCTCTCTACGTGAATGGTTCAGATCTTGGAGTCACATACCGATGAAGTTTGGTTCTTGCAATTTTCACATAATGGCAAATATTTGGCTTCATCTTCCAAGGATCAAACAGCAATCATATGGGAGGTAAGGCTGAGTTACAAACCAAAGGCTCACCTGAATTAGGTTTTGCTAACCTGTTAAAGTTTTGATTTGTTACCTATTCCAATTGAGGCAACCTGTTTGCTGATTCACTTAGAATGTACTTTTCAGATCTGCGCAGATGGGCACACTTCATTGAAGCATACACTTGTTGGCCACCAGAAACCCGTGATTGCCATCTTATGGAGTCCTGATGATCGTCAAGTTCTTACATGTGGAGCAGAAGAGGTTATCAGACGCTGGGATGTTGATTCAGGAGACTGTGTTCACATTTATGAAAAAGGCGGCATCAGTCCCATTTCTTGCGGATGGTATCCTGATGGGCAGGGAATAATCGCGGGGATGACAGACCGAAGCATCTGCATGTGGGATTTAGATGGTAGAGAGTTGGAATGCTGGAAAGGTCAGAGGACTCAAAAGGTATCAGATATAGCAATGACAGATGATGGAAAGTGGCTCGTAAGTGTATGCAAGGATTCCGTGATATCGCTATTTGATAGAGAAGCTACAGTTGAGAGATTAATTGAAGAGGAAGACATGATTACCTCGTTCTCGCTTTCGAATGACAACAAATATATTCTGGTAAACCTCCACAACCAGGAAATCCGTCTCTGGAATATTGAAGGTGACCCCAAGATTGTGTCAAGATACAAAGGCCACAAGCGTTCACGATTCATCATCAGATCATGCTTTGGTGGGTATAAACAAGCTTTCGTCGCTAGCGGAAGCGAGGATTCTCAGGTAAAATCCACTCTTTTATTATCATCACATAAGCACATGAAAGAAAAAAGCTAAATCAAATGGTGATAATCCAGTCTGTTCTCTGAATCATTCTGTGAATTTGGTAGTGGCTGTCTCATTCTACATTTTATCAATTTAGACAGAACATCCAGTCTCTGTTCTCAGAATCTTTGCAGAATAAGGAATATGTTTGTTTCTTTCTGCAGTTAATCTATATGCAGTTTTAGGATTTACAGTCTAGACAAAACATAATCAGTTTAGACAGAGCATAACCAGATAATATACTCTGTTTCCCAGTATCGAAGAATGGTTGCTTTGTTATTTAGTTGATCTCTCTGCGGGTTTTGGTGACATGGGTCCACACATTTCTGTTATTTGCAGGTATACATATGGCACAGATCTACAGGGAAGTTAATCGTCGAGCTACCAGGCCATGCAGGAGCAGTCAACTGCGTGAGCTGGAGCCCGACGAACTTACACATGTTGGCTTCAGCAAGCGATGACGGAACCATAAGGATATGGGGACTTGACCGGATTAACCAACAGAACCAGAAGAAGCATGTGCAAGGAAGTAGCAGTAACGGTGTGATTCACCGATGCAATGGGAATTGATTATGATAGAAAAAAAGAAAATGAATGACCTTCCTTAAAACTATTTAACAGTTATGTTGTTTCTTCTTTCTTCATCATCCTCTTTATGTTTGCTTCCGTTGGTATGGAAAGCAAAAGAAAGAAGGCAAAATCTGTTTCTTTTCTTTTTTAAAAAAAATTCTGAACCCATCAGTGGAAGGAACAAAAAGGAAAAAGAAAATGCAATTTGCAATATAATTCTTCTAATGATGTTACATTGTACATACAGTTTGAATGG